TATGGCGGGGAGGGGAGCGAGGAATCATTATCGCGCATGAGGAAACGCAAGCGCCTTGACTCCCTGACCACGACCCTTTCCCATGAACGCCATCGCCGTAGCGCGTATGTCCAAGTGCTGGACGCGCGCTCTCCCTACCTTTTCACGACGCTTACGATGCCGCGTTGGCCGCTGGACGGTCGGATGCGCGCGTGGGGTCTCTCGCCATACCTGGGTTCTCGAGTTCCCTCGGTCCTGTCGTTTATTCATGCATGGTCCTTTCTTTGCTTAGTGGGTAGAAATTGGAGGGAGGAAAAGATGTGACTATTTTGTCTTGTATGCTGTGCTTTTAGTCGTTTGCCGTTGCCCTTATGCTCACCATCTACCGATTACCATCTACAACTTACTCCCGCTCTCATCGTCATCCCATAGTCGACCCCTCATCCTCATACCATCCTCATCCTCATCAGCCGCAACCCATCGCACGGCTCAACCGGACTCCCTCATACGGATCTCGATCCGCCCGCCCGCTCACTTATCATCCCCACCGTCGTTACCACACACATAACTGCTCTTGGACTCCGGACACGACCTCCCTCCCCAGCTGTTCCATAGGACTCGCCCCCCTCGAAGGTTTTGCAGAATCTACGAATGCATTTTTGGCGTCTGGATATCGATTTTTTCTTTGATATAGTACTGATAGTGAATATCTTAGTCTTTGCTTTTTGTCTCTTGCTCTTCGGTGCAGCTGGCAGCGTGGCCAGGTTGTGTACGACTACGTGCGCACCGTCCGACCGCCATCGCCACCGTCCGACTCCGATGTGCGAACGTTGACGTTCAGAAGCGAGGCGAGACGAATGGGATGCATAGCGGCGATCGCGCCTCGCAGCGATGTACTGTGCCCTTGTGCGTGTGCCGTATGATCATTGTGGACGTTTTTTTGGCATTACAGCGTCGCGCCGAAGGATTGTGGACGTTGACCGAAGATCGAGCGGGCGGCTGTCAAGGAATAGTGCTGTATATTACAAGGGAGTGTAACGTAGTTCTAAGTATCGTGAGGGTCATGAGATTGCGTCTACTTGACTATGGTGCAGAGGTATACTACTATGGATACAGTGGGCCAGCCAGATGGAAACGAGCGTGGTGTATGATACAGATGTTCGGCGAGTCTAAGGAACGTGAATGCGCATGAGAGAGATGTCCGTGTCTGATGTCCGGAAGTGGAGGCCGCGCGCACGGCTGGTTAGGAAGGCGGTGCATCGCGAGCGCGCTTTGGGTCTCCGCGCGTGGCTTGCGAGCCTGAGACCTGGTCGCGCGCGCGCTTCTGGGCTGGTGCGGGAGCGTCGAACGGAGCGTCGAGGAGGAATGGACCGTCGAAGGGAAATGGACCGTCGAGGGGGAATGGACCGTCGAGGGGGAATGGACCGTCGAGAGGGAATGGGGCGTTGAGGGGGAATAGAGCGTTGAGGGGTCCAAGATCAGCTGCCAAGAGAGCGTCTGCGTTCAGAGATTGCGCCTCTTCAAGAACAGGCAATGGGACTGGGATGTCAGTGGCCGGGGTAAAGAGTGTATTCAACGCTTCAGGTGAGCAGAGCCAAGGGTGCCAAGACGCATCGAAAGACGTATGGCGCTTCAACACAGCTGGCTCTATGCAACTTTTCAGAAATGAAACGGCTTTACGCGACATGTGAATCGTCAGCATTCATGGTACATCAAAAGCAATGCGATTGTTACTCACCGTTGGAACTGATATCTTTGAATAGCTCCCACTGTGGCTCGCCACCGCGTATGCGCTCGTACACATCCTGAGGCTCCGCCGACTCGAAGGGAGAAAGACCCGTGAACCTGAAGGATACATCACACTTCTGTCGACGACGACCGCGTAGAATGGAACATACAAGTAGTAGATGGAGATCCCCGCGGCCCACACGTCTACACCTCGCGTATAGATGCGGTAGGGACTCGCTACTTCAGGTGGAATGTAGCCAGGAGTACCGAAGAACGTTTCCTGTCATGACATTCAGAAGGCTGCTCATGGTCAGAATGAGTGTCAAGCGTTCGATGCTAACCTTCGCTTTGGCCTGGTTTGTCAGATCTTCGAGCGACTTGCACAGCCCAAAGTCTGATATAACAACGCGAGGCATTCCGCTGACAGAGTCTGCCGGGGGATATAGCAGGAGATTGTTGGGTTTGATGTCGCAGTGAACCAATTTCAACCTGTGAATGAACTGCAAGGGTTGAGATTGTTGAGTATCTATGAACCACACATTGCGTGTGAATCCACACATACCTCTAGTCCATGGAAGATACTACGCGCCGCTGTCAAAATCTTCGCTTCCGCTAGAGGTGCTTGAGCTTATGAAAGGAGAGGAAGTATTACGACCACTTACTCATGAGTATCGAGCGGGGCGCAGGCACAAGGCCCTTACGATTGAGCAAAGGTATTACATCGAAGAGATCGCCGATAGCGACGTCCATGACGATGTCTATGAGCGTAAGGGTTAAGAGTGCCCTCTAAGACGCCAGCTTCGTACAAATGGACTCACACTGAGCGAGTGTCTTCTTTGCAACCCGATTATCCCGCATTCTCACGATTGAAGGTCCCGACCACTCCGTGCTGAAACCAAGAAGATCATTGTACATGTCTGCCTCATCGACCTGCCAAATCTTTCGCAGAGCTTGCACCTCTTGCAAAGCAAGCACTCTCGGGTCTTCCAGCTCGGGATCTACGCTGACTTTGATCGCCACAGCGCGATTGGTCGGGACGATCTGTCGGCCCCTATAAACCACACCGTACGTGCCTTGACCCAACACTCCGAACACCCTGTAGAGAGACGAACACTCGATATTCCGGAATGAGTGATATATCCGATATATGAAAGCATAGCTGGCGGAAGTGATGCCATCCTGGAAGTCGATGTAATCACCATCGGATAAGACGACAGGGCTGTAGGCTTCGAGTGGTAGGCCATTAACCTGCACGCGTGGAAGTAAGTATTAGTTAGAGGAATAACAGCGAGTATGAAGACCGTACCATTAATGAGTCGTTTACGTCGCAGAGAATGATACTCAGAAAGGCCCTTGTGAAGTCGGGTTCACCATTCCAGGTGAAAGCGAACTTGTCTGGATATGGATTGAGTTCGCCATTGCCTACTACCAATCATACTACATACCTTGAGCTCCAGAGACGCGCACAGACTGAAGTGTCCCATCCCCAGAAAAGTCAGAGATGGTGATCGTATCCTGCCCACAACACCCAGATCTTTTCGCGATCTCGGGAACCTCGTCAAGTTCAGCGGTGAAGGTGAGGTGAGCAAGTTCCGAGGTTTCTCGAGGTAGAATGATGAAAGATTGTGGCACGGTCAACGTAGGGATCATGGCTGTCCAGCAGGAATGAGAGGGAATAACGATGAGGCATGACCAAAAGATATCGCTTTATACGCGCCTGGTCCAGAAGCACGACCACCCGCCAGAAGAATAGCCAAATCTCAGAGAACAAGAGTACGGAGAGCGCAGCATCAGATAAACAAGGGAAGGCACGCCGCTCGTGGTGCACATCGCGACGAAAGGACCGAGCATGGCACAGCGTGATTGTGTCGGAGTTCAGGACAACAAAAGAGAAGAAGCCATACTGGGCCATACTACCAGACTGACTCCCTTGTTCTGACTGAGAGCGCCGTGTGTAACCAGCCGTACCCAAATCACTTGTAAGTACGCAGCTACGACATATCATCGCGGATCTCGATGGGTGCCTGTACATGACGGAAGCCGGCAAGCTTAGAAGTCGACGTTGTGATGCATAAATAAGGTTCGGATATCGGTCCGACGTGTCCGCGAACCGCGGTGTCCCCGACGCACACGCGCGTTGCAAGCGCATTGTACTTACTTGGGATGAGGACGCGACAGAGCTCATTTGTGACCAAAAGCAGTAAGACATCGGGGCAAGGACTGATCACTCCGAAGGGGCCATGGTGCCTTGTTTTTTTGTTCAAACGTGGGAGCGCGCTGATTGACAACAACAGCCCGCTGCTTCCAGCGGTAGCTCGGCAAGTCTCCTGATAATTCGGCCCTGCTCTCTTTCAGTCACCTCCCTCTGTACCTCCGACGCAACCGCAGCGATGCATCCATGCGAACTAGCTATGATATCGGCACTGAAAGCTGGACTACACCCTCCTCATGGTGACCCACGACTGAAAGCGACATTCGGGCCGATACGCATCTTAGCGCTTGACCCACCGAGGGAATACTCTGTTGGATATGCATCGGACAATGACTTCGTCCTGAGTGGGAAGTTCGCGCACTACGCGAGTACGTGTCCTGTGATTTGCAACCCGTTGCTTCACTGAAAGCCAAGCAGGCAGAACTCATTGCAAACTTTACTGGAACGGCGAACAGATGTCGATTATGGATGCGCAATCCTTGAACGGGACTTGGGCAAGCCATGTTGCATTCTCTTCTTGGAAGTCGTCTGACAGTCATCGTCAAGGTCAACTGGTGTCGTCTTGCTGACGGTGAAACCCGGACTCTGCACGATCAGGATACAGTCACCTTTACCCCTCTCCCTCTCGACGGCAGACTCAATGCCAGCCGCGATGGCCTTGAGTACATTGATAGCAAGCCGGGCAGAAGGCACGCGCTCGCTTTCATGTACAAGGAACATACGTTAGACAACCTCCCCACAACATTGTCCTCCCCCTCTCGTGCATTGCGGCGATCCCTGGATGAGTTGAATCGCATACGCAAAGCTATACAAGGCGCTCGTAGCTTACGGTGCGCTCGCCAATAACTCACTTGTGTTCAGCATTGACATGCCTGCTAGGTCTCGTAATTGCGCGACGACCACGACGGCCAATATACAACCCGCGCGCACGTATCGAGGCTCTCTGGATCGGCCGGAACGACCCCAGACACCTTTCTACATGCCTCCCTTGCCCGTGGATATGACGCCTGAACTCCGTGGGCACAAGAAGCTCCGGCTGGCCTCCTTCCTTATACCAGGACCCGAAGACCCCGATGGCTTCCCTGCCGACCATCCCGACATCATTTGGCGTCGAGATGTGAGCTACAAGCACGTACGCGGCACGCGAGCCCCTTCGTTTCAGATGCAGCAATGGTCGTGTTTCTACCATCTTCCCGTGGGCCTCCATTGCGATTGGCCCCTATTCTCCTCCGTCGCTTATGGAGCTCGGCCTCCGCCGGATGCGCTACCGCCTCGGGCTCAGCGCGAGGAAGCCTTCGCCAAGTACAGTTGGCCTAAAGACGAGTTTACGAACAAAAACTGCCATCGCGCTTCCACAATACCCACTCGTCTCTCTCCCCCACCATCTTCTCAACACGGCGGCGACGACACAAGACCTGGCCTGTCCTCGCACACCGCCACAAATGCAACACCTGAGGTACCCCCCGTGCAACGAACGGCACTCGCCTCGCCTTTGACGGTGTTACCCACCTGCACCACCATCCGGCCCACTTTGAAGCGATCTCGGAGCCCCGACGATGCTACGATTGATAGACCCGCAAAGCGCGTGGCGGTTTCGCCAACCCCCAGCGCTCATCCGCGCGTACTATCTTCGCCTCTCGGGACGTCCCCTTGTCGGCGCTCGCCGCCATCAGATCCGCATGCGCTCTCGACGCGCCCGGTGGCAACGACTCCGATTTCCCACACTGCGCCTGATTCGGTCCTTCCATCACGAAGTGCTCGCGCACGGACGCCCAGTTCAATGGGCGATGCACCCTGCATACCCGATGCATCCGGTGCTGCCCTTGTTCAAAGGTCGCATGCACGCAAGCGAAAGCGCGAAGACGACGCCGACGCCGACGCCGACGCCTCGAACACGGAAGATGTTGAGATTTCTTCGGCGCCTGTGGCACCGTTTGCCCAACCTGACGATGCGCCGTCGCCCGTACCTCGACCTTTCGATGGTCCATCTGATATACCTCAGCACTCGATATCCAGGAAGCGACGTCGCATCGCTCAACCATCGGCCCCAATCCGGCGTTCCCTACGCATGCGAGAGAAAACAGAGATGACGATCCGTAGTTGAAGCAGTCCTACGCGTTACCTGTATTACTTAGGCTTCAATCTGACGTAGAGTTGTATTTATATTTATGTATAAAGCTCTCGGCTATCGAATATACATCTTCGGTCATTTACCTGTACTACCCTGACACACATTGTAGTCTGAGATCAAGTACACATATTGCACCTTGCACGCTGAAGACGCTAGTCGCCGGTACGCGAGCTCGAGATTCAACATTGCTCAATCTACAATCTCCAGTTTCGCACGTGCAAATCGTCGACGACGCAGCATGAGGCTCGCAACGCGTGCGGTTCTTCCTGGCTCTTCCCGTCATCATCGATTTTAAAGGGCACCCACCATACTGCTTCGCAGCCTACTTTGGCCAGGAACAGACCAAAGATCTCACATTTCCATATTGTACTCAATATGGCAGGAGACTTCAGGGCGAGCTCCACTCTTTTGTTCAGTGCTCTTGTTCGGACGTGAGAGCGCCCGTCACTTGTTCGACGAACAAGGTGGCGCACCCTTCGAACCTGTACTCAACCTCTACTACTGGGATCGAGCGCTCGCACCCCGATCAGGCCTCCTTGTTCAGACGTGGGTCGGTCGTCGACGACGGTCCCTGCCTCAAGTTCGCCAACAACTACCACCTCCTCTGAGCTGCATCACCCCTCTGAAGCCGATTTTGGACGCATGCACCCTACCACTTTCCCAGTATCGAGGGATGGCCTACTCCAACTACCCACGGGCGACCCTCGACGAAGAGCGACCTTCGGACCATTGCGCATTCTAGCTCTTGATGCGCCTCGAGAGTACTGTGTTGGCAGTGCTATGAACAATGACTTTGTTCTACGTGGCGACTTCGCACATTATGCTAGTACGTATCCGAGAGACTGTTCCATGCCGGCTTTACTGAAGATAAGCAGGTAGGCGGCATTGCAAACTTACTTGGGATGGCGAGCAAATGTCGATTACGGATCTGGAGTCGTTGAATGGAACATGGGTAAGTCGCATGCTGCAGTTGTCGATCAGTTGGCCCCTCCTCTCATCAAGAATGTCAGGTCAACAAACAGCGTCTTGCGCATGGCGAAGTTCGCTTACTCCGCGACCAGGATCAAGTAGCCATCACACCACTCGCGCTTGACGGTCGACTCAGCGCCTCCCACTGTCAGTTTGAGTATATGGAGTGTAAACTAGGAGGATTTCATACGCTTGTATTTGTGTACAAGGAGTACTCGCTCGACAGTCTGGAAACGACGTTGACATCCCCAGCTCGTGCGGTGAGACGGTCTCTAGCTGAGCTTCAACGCATACGCAAAGTCGTCCACGGTCTTCGTTTATCTCGGTATGTTCGCCGCCAGCAAGGGATGATCCCGACATCTCATACCCGTGCCAGGATCCACAAGCCCCCGTCGATTTCTGCGGGAGAAGATCGAGTTGCGCGCACATACACCGGCTCTGTGGATCGGCCGGGACGACCCGAGACCCCATTCTACATACCTCCCTTGCCCATCGACCTCACTCCTGAGCTTCACAGACATAAGCCACTTCGCCGCGCTGCCTTCCTTATACCAGGACCTGAAGACCCCGATGGGTTCCCTGCCGACCATCCTGACATCATCTGGCGAAAGGGCCTGAGCTACAAACATGTACCTGGCACTCGCGCTCCCTCATATCAGATGCAACAATGGTCGTGCTATTACAATCTTCCCGTGGGCCTCCACTGCGATTGGCCCTTATTCTCCTCCGTCGCTTACGGAGCTCGACCTCCGCCTGATGCGCTACCGCCTCGGGCTCAGCGCGAGGAAGTGTTTGCTAATTATCACTGGCCTAAGGATGAGTTTACGAATAAAAGTTGCTATCCCGTTGCCGCGGTACCGGCTCGTCCCTCTCTCCCACCGACTCCTCAACACGGCAGCGCTGGCGCAAGACCGGGATCGTCATCGCGCACCGAGGCACTTCGCGTGCGACGAACGGCACTTCCTTCACCATCAATGGCGATACCAGCCAGTCCCACCATCCGACGCAATCTGAAGCGACCTCGGAGCCCCGACGATGCTACGATTGATAGACCCGCAAAGCGCGTAGCGGTCTCGGCCATCTTAAGCGCTCATCCGCCCATACTCTCTTCGCCTCTCGGGGCGTCCCCTTGTCGGACCTCACCGCCATCGGATCCGCGTGTGCTCTCGATGCGCCCGGTAGCAACGACTCCGAGTTCTCACACTGCGCCTGATTCGGTCCAAGTTCCATCACCAAGTGCTCGGGCACGGACACGCAGCTCGATAGACAAGACACTCTGCATACACGACGTACCTGGTGCCGCCCATGTTGCGAATTCGCATGCACGCAAGCGAAAGCGCGAAGACGACGCCGACGCCGACGCGACCGCCGAAGATGTTGAGATTCTTTCGGCGCCTGTGGTACCGGCTGCCCAACCTGACGACGCGCCGTCGGCTATTCCTCAACCTTCTGACAGCGCCGACACGACCCAGCACTTGATACCCCGGAAGCGACGTCGCATTCAGCCTTCGGCCCCTATCCGGCGTTCTTTGCGCGTGCGGGAGAAGGCAGGGGTGACGATCCATAGTTGAGGCGATCCTACGAGCCACCTATCGTATTCCTAAGGCTTTGCGACTTACATAAATCTACATCTCTGTTTGTACGCAACTCAATGTCACATCTATCTTCGTTCATTCATCTGTACCACCCTAATTCACATTGTAGTCTGAGATAAAGTGCTTACTTATTACGCTCCAAGGAACGCATTGCTTTGCTTTGGACCTCCCATAGAATAGTTGTACTGATACATGGGAAGCGTGGGATACTCACGGCAAGTATCGGCGCAGGCGACCGGCTGCGGCTCGCGCGGGCATCTCGATCATTCGCGCAACATTCACGGGTTCTTTCGACCCATCGTCATCATCGCCGCTGGACATCCTTCATCCATCATGTTCATTCGTCTCGATAGAATTACCGCATGCTGCTGTGGCCGTTACTGCTTGGGCGATATGTCTTCCCCGGACTCTTGAAGCTTTTGTGACGCCTGAGGGGTGCTTACTGTGGCGAATGCAACCAAAACCGTGTCCGAGATCGGGAAGCACAAGAGCTTCCAGGACATCATCAACTCGCTCGACACGCTCCCCGCGACGATCAACGCGACGTACATCGACCAGAGCTCGTATTGGCTGACCTTCTTTCCGCTCCGCGGCTTCCTCGTCATCTTCGACCTCGCGCAGATCCACAACCTCGTCTGGATCTCGTTCAAGACGCACGTGCTCGGCCGCACGCCGCGCGACCACCGCGAGTACACGCGCCCGCAGGACTTCGAATACGCGGCGTACTACGCCAATTTGCTGTTCATGGGCACCGTGGGGGGTGGTGACTATTCCGCCGTTTGTGATGGTTATCTTGTTCAAGATCTATATCAACCGGGTAAGCCCTCATTCACTCTTTGAAGTCCCAATGGCATTGCTAACGTTGTACCTATTATATAGGTATTCCACCAGCGCTTCAGGTACTACACACCCACCGAGGACGAGCTCCGCGTCGCCAAGATCCACTCCGAGCGCGCCGATATCAAAGGCAACCGTCTCGAGAAGCGCTTCGGCCACCCCGTTCTCCACGCCGAGCTCTTCACGCCCATGCTGCACGCCAACACGATGCCCCTCCTCGCAGAAGTCTACCACGGCAAGATCGCGCGCCCGGGCACGACCAAGTTGGAGGAGTACGGTGGGCAAGAGCTGCAGGCGCAAGTCATGCCCGGCGGCCTGCGCATCGCCGCGATCTCCTAAGGCGATCTGGAGTACGATCCCGCGCTGTTCAGACGCGATCGCGGGGAGCTCGACTGGGACCAGCGCTCTATCGCCACGACGGCCGTCCTGGGCAAAGGAGGAGACAACGCGAGCCTGTACACGACGTCGAAACAGCCGTTCGGCGGCCGCGAGCAGTATCTGGCGCACGGGCCCGGCGCGTCCGAGATCGAGCGCACGCGGTTCGATAACGACAAGATCCCGCTTCTGCCGCCGACGCTCGCGTATAACCAGAGCTCGGCGAGCTTGCCGGGGTATCCGCCGTCGAGGACGGGGACGCCGACGCCGCGGTTGGACCCGGACGAGCTTCCCCCGCCTGCGCCGTATCAGGCGTACGCCAGCCAAAGCAATGTGGATTTGGGGAGCTATCAGCAGTATCCGCCGGGCGTGTATCAGCCGGCGTATGAGAGGGAGGCGCCGATGCATAGGCCGCAGGGAACGTATAGCCCGCAGGGGCAGCAGAGGGCGTATAGTCCTGCACAGCAACAGCAGCAGAGGGCGTATAGTCCGGCGCCTCCGCCGCAGGAGCCGGGCGATGGGAATATGGCGGGGAGGGGAGCGAGGAATCATTATCGCGCATGAGGAAACGCAAGCGCTTTGATTCCCTGACCACGACCCTTTCCCATGAACGCCATCGCCATAGCGCGTATGTCCAAGTGCTGGACGCGCGCTCTCTCTACCTTTCACGACGCTTACGATGCCGCGTTGGCCGCTGGACGGTCCGAATGCGCGCGTGGGGTCTCGCCATACCTGGGTTCTCGAGTTCCCTCGGTCCTGTCGTTTATTCATGCATGGTCCTTTCTTTGCTTAGTGGGTAGAAATTGGAGGGAGGAAAAGATTGTGATTTTTGTCTTGTATGCTATGCTTTTAGTCGTTTGCCGTTGCGCCCCGTATGCTCCTCACCATCTACCATCTACAACCTTACTCCCGCTCTCATCACCATCCCATAGTCAACCCCTCCCTCGCCCTCATCCTCTCACATCCAACCCGCACACCCGGACTCCCCCCATATACGGATATCAATCCGCCCGCCCGCTCACTTATCATCCCCACCGTCGTTACCACATACATAGCTGCTCTTGGACTCCGGACATGACCTCCCTCCCCAGTTGTTCCTTAGGACTCGCCGTCTCGAAGGTTTCGCAGAATCTACGAATGCATTTTTGGCACCTGGCGTATCGATCTTTTCTTTGATATAGTACTGATAGTGAATATCTTAGTCTTGCTCTTCATTACTGTTGCCGTGTGAAATCGTGTAAAGCTGGCAGTGTCGCGCTTCTGGTTGGTAAAAGACTTTGTTCAGGGTCTTGATTTGGCGGACAACGATATGGATGACGCATCATAGGCGCAAGTATGCATAGCAGGACTCACCGATCAACGTAGGACTCGTGGTTCTTGTAGACAAGTCCGAATAACTCGGATGAAATCGTCTCGGCACGAGAACATTGGGTAGAGGATCTTAGATTGTTATGTACAGGTATTACATGCTCCGTATGTATAGCTTGAGAATGAGGGTATGGTATGTCTAGTGTGATGGTGTCCGATGCAATCGTGAACTTCATGCAAGTCCAAAGTGAGTGTACGCGTCGTGTAGCTATCGCTGCAAGCCTCCGGCTGCAACCGCACCCCCCGCCTCTATCAGGGGCTCATCAACACGCATGCGCTTCTGTGCCCCCTGCCCTTCCTGTGCGACATCGTCGCCGAGCGTATGTTTGGCGGCTTGATGAGACGGACCCGCCTGAGGAACTAATGGCAAAGTCGAGAAATTCGCAGGATAGTCCAAAACAGGCAGCGCAATCCCGGCGTTCGCGGGTGTGAAGAGGTGGTCGCCAAGCTGGGGTATGGGGGAAACCCACGGATCGAGGAGAGCTTGGTCGGCTGTTGGGCGGAATAGGTGGTTCGGCTGAAGACAGCGGCAGATGAACTCCACGGCTATACCAGAGTCAGCCTCTATACGTCCACAAACTAGACCATAACAAGTACCTGCTTTACTGATGTTTAACTGTGCCAAAGTGGAAATGTGCCTTCCCGAATCCACCCGTGCCTGGACTTGCTCTGCAGAGGCACCTCGATACAGGTAGTTCCCCGTGCACCTATCAAGGCTAGATAAGATCTCAGAGTTTCAGCGATGAACAAATGAATCCACATACGCGTAGTACAGAGAGATGCCCGCGGCCCATATATCGACGGCTTTGGAATAGATCAGCGTTGTGATGGCCACTTCTGGTGGAAGAAAGCCGGGAGTTCCAATGAAGGCTTCCTACAAAAACTCTGTTCAGTCTTCGATACATGGGTGCATCGAGCATCTTCAACGCACGCCTCGCGCTGCCATCAACTCCAGATCAGTCTCCGTTTTGGATATACCGAGATCGCCAAGGACGACGTGGCTGTAGGGATCCATCGCGCCCTCACGCCGCCCATACAGCAAGATATTGGCGGGCTTGATATCGCAATGAACATATCCCAGATAATGCATGAACTAAAACCGATAATGAGTTACTAAAACTCGGACCGGGACAAGATTGAGATATAATGCGTGCTCACGTTGAGCCCCATGAACACCTGGCGAGCGATAGAGAGGACTTCGAGCTCATCTTGAGTCATCAAAGTTCTTGATTAGCGACAGGCTCAAGATTCATGCAATCGAATCTTACCGAGACGCGCGCGGCCGCCGATGTCATCCTTCTTCTTTACGAGACTATGGAGGTCTCCCAAGGCCATGTCCATGACGATGACTAGCAATGAGAGATGGATGTATCAGTGACAAAAGGCTCCCAAAGGAATGGACACGGAACGTACATTGGAAGGTATCTTTAACCCAATGGTCACGTAACATGACGATGTGTGGGTCGATGTCAATTTGTCCGGGGTATTTCTGCGCATTCATTGCCTTTACCTGCGCCCAGATATACTCCAGGTTTGCGACCTCCTTGCTCTCTGCATATTCTGTGGTACTATTGGCAAGTAGAGGTCCAGCCTTAGTCCTCTTGACCGCCAGACGCTGCTCTCCAACAGGATTGCGACATTTTTGAACGGTCCCATAGCCTCCTTGACCCGCACGACTGAGAACCATGTACGTCCTGAGTGTTCGTTTGCTGCAGAGAGCATGCTTAAGGCGATAGAAAAACTTGACGTCGATACGCGGGTAGTCGGCCTTCGCATGCTCAAAGAGCTGTATTGTATCGCAGTCGTCGAGATCCACGGGCATTCCCTGTACCAGCTGTTCGTCATTCACCTGTCCGACAATGTGAGTGACGGTGACTTATACTAGAATCATATCGGAGTTCTTGCTCACCATGATGTTGGCGGAACTGCATGAGGTGACGGTGAATTTTGCCTCTTTGAAACTCTGCGCCCCGTTCCACGTGAACACGCATTTAGCTAACGAAGAGATCCAAGTCAGATAGATGACAAGAAACACAGCCTGTAAAGGGTGCTCGTACTCTTCCCATCAGCGTCAAAGTTGATTATCCACGGCTGTAATACTAAGGGGTATGTGACGAAGCGCTCCTTCGGGGCATGTCGCAGGACGAAGTTCGCTTCTTTGATTGGCACAAGGTGAGCCAGAAAGTCCACATCGACTGAAGGTTGTCTTAAAGAAAGAGCGTCGGCAAGAGTAGAGACAGTGGCATTCCAGTTTTCGTTCATGTCGTTCATATCTGCCAGCAGATCGTGGAGAGGGAAGGAGAGGAAATCGTTATGGTCCCAAGTTCTCAGGCAATGCGTCCGCCTTAAATCTGGTAGCGCATCTGCCCCCAGGTCATGCTTGCCATAGCGGATCTGAGCGCCGAGAACAACAGCATGGGTGCGGAAGGAGAACAAATAGATCCTAACCTGCTTCGTGAGTAGATCGCTTCGTGTCCAGCAGGACAACAGTACCTGGAAACGGTATCATGACAAGGCCCGGCGACTGTCCTCCGAGTATAGCAATTATTGTCTGCAAGAAGGCACAGGGCTCGTGGTCAATGCGGCTAGCAGAAGATGGTAACAACTGCCACGCAATCTGAAGGGTTATGAGGTCTCGGTCCAACGTGCAGCTGGGCCGCTACACGTTGTAAGGTCACGATAGCATGAACGCCGAGCGCCGAGCGCCGAAGCGGTGATCACCGAGCATATTTCCCACACGACGGACCCTCCAAAGGCGCGTTCACGCAATTGTGTTTTGCAACCGCCCAGAATTTCAGTCATCCTCATAATGATTCTATGCAGTGCCAACAATTAGTCACACAGGGCGTCGTGCGCGAGGTGTGGTGACGTAGGAGCTCAGGACCGAGAAGTGTTATTGTGACGAAAACGGCTGAAGGGCGATAGTTCTTGTTTGTTGTTCTCTTGCGTGCGTGGGCGAACGTTCTGAGTACGCGGATGTAATTGAACATCGCCTTTCTAGTTCTCAAACCCACCATCCATTACAGAAGTGCGTGAACACCCGTCCATCCAGCCTGTCGTCCTGACATCGACTCGGACAACAGGATGCTGGCGCTCTCCTCCCGTCTTCACCCAATGTCCATGGTTACCAGCGCACCTTCCATAGCGCTACAGCTCTCCGCTCGAACCGATATACCATCAGGAGGTCCCGCTTCAGGAGAAGAAACACCACTTTTGAAGATAACGCTTGGGCCATTGCGAATCCTTGAATCAACTCTCCCGCGAGAGTATACAATCGGTCGAGCTAATACGAATGATATTGTTCTCGGGGGCAAGTACTCCCGTCTGACTAGTGTGTCCTTCCAATACCTCAGCTCTTCAGTACTTTGCTAACATTCAACTTAGGCAGGGAGCACTGCAAGCTCATCTGGGACGGTAACGGATTGAGTATCCTTGATCTACACTCCACGAACGGAACTTGGGTTTGCATTTCTCCCTGCCTCGACTTTATGACCGGTGTTGACTATCTCTAGATCAATACTCGACGCCTCGCTGATGATGAAGTGTATCTTTTGCACGACAGCGATAAAGTGACATTCACCCCGGTTCCACTTGACGATCGAACCCCGGCGGACGATCCCGGAGGTTGTACGTTTTTCGAGAGCAGACTTGGTGGGCGACATGCGCTACAATGTCTGTATACGGAGCATACCCTGAGTACGCTCGAAACGAAGATGTCATCTGTAGGGGCAGCCGTTAGGCGATCCCTGGACGAACTCGTCCGTATACGCAGGGCTATTTCGCCCCTTGACGCGAGAACGTGCGTACCCAAACCCATTCCCATACGGTCTTACTGATCCTTGATCAGGCAAGGACACGCCAACCCTGCAGTTGACACATCGCGAACATATCGCGGCTCTTTAGACCGACCACAGCGACCAGAGACTCCCGTCTACGGTGGTCCGCTACCACTCCATGACGACCCAGAACAGCGCGAGAGATTGAGGATGCGCCCGGGGGGGCTCTGGTCCGGTCCCGAAGACCCGAACGGTCTTCCGGCTGATCATCCTGATCTGATATGGCGCCGCGGGGTACGCTACAAACATACGCCTGGCGTCTGTCCACCTCCGCTCGAGATGCGCCAGTGGTCAGAACTCTATAGTCTCCCTGTGGGCCTGCACGACGAGTGGTCGATGATCTCGCCCATCGCTTATGGAGGATTCCGACATTTGACCGATGCAGAGCGTACACGGCTTATCCCATACGTACGCGACACCTACCCCGACTACGTCTTCCCGGAGAAAATGCTATCAGACACGAAGCCACCCTCTGACGTTGGCCTAGTGGATGCCGACACCGCACCGGTCGCGTCAGTAGACGTTCCTACGCCTCCTTCGGTCACCAGGTCTGACCACCTTTATGCTGCCAACTCCTCACTTATCCCGCCATGGCAATTCCGAGAGGATGTTCCACCGGTTTTGCACCCCTCGACCCCTTCAGTTCCTCATGTGCGAAAGCGTCATCGCTTGGACGAAAGTCTTGATGACGAGCGGCCGAGTAAACGCATTGCACTTGGGGCGAGGACCGAAGTCCGACCTCCATCTCAACATCCACTAAGAACACTCCGGGCGGACCCGGACAAAATACCATCGCCCCCTACCACCGAGACACGACATTCTTCGAAGCCTTGCAAGCCTGGTCCCGACGATCGCAGTCGCAACTCGCTCGTCGGGGAGACGAACGCAAGACCCGCTCGCCCCTCTCCCCCACCCTCTTCTCGGCACGGCGGCGCCGACACAAGACCCGGCCCGTCCTCGCACGTCACCGCGAATGCAACACCTGAGGCACCCCCCGTGCAACGAACGGCACTCTCTCCTTCGGCGGTGTCACCCACCAGCACCACCATCCGGCCCAGTTTGAAGCGATCTCGAAGACCGGACGATGCTACGATTGCTAGACCCGCAAAGCGCGTAGCGGTCTCGGCCACCCTCGGCGCTCATCCGCGTATACTGTCTTCGCCTCTCGGGGCGTCCCCTTGTCGGACCTCACCGCCATCGGAACCGCATGCGCTCTCGGCGCGCCCTGTCGCGACGACTCCGAGTTCCCACACTGCACCTGATTCGGTCCCCCAAGTTCCATCACCAAGTGCTCGGGCACGGACACTCAACTCAATAGACGAGACACTCTGCATACCCGACATACCTGGTGCCGCCCATGTTGCGAAATCGCATACACGCAAGCGAAAGCGCGAAGACGACGCCGACGCCGCGACGACCGAAGAGGCGCCTGCGATACCGGTTACACAACCTGACGATGCGCCGTCGCCTATACCTCGACCTTCTGATGGGTCTGACGAGCCTCAGCCTGACCTGACATCTAGGAAGCAACGTCGCACCGCTCAAACATCGGCCCCAATCCGGCGTTCTCTACGCGTGCGAGAGAAAGCAAAGGTGACGATCCGTAGCTGAGCCAGTCCTACACGCCATGTGTATTCCTTAGGCTCAATCTTCGCTTGTATACACCTCTGCCTCATCCTTGCTTGGCCATTTACCTGTACTAAATACCCCGATTGCCATTGTAGTCTGAACCTAATCAACTTGCGGTACTCATTTTACGCCTCTTACTGTACCCATAAAGTATCACGTCTCTATAGCAGTACTCTGAATGCAAGCTTTGAACCTCATGATAAAACCCCTGTGAGACTTCTGTACGATGACAAGGTCATGATGCTATCGTACGCGGCCGGCACGTCGTGGCGACCAGAGTGCGGGACTTCCGTGGCGTACTGTGGCGCAGCCTTCATTTCAACGTGCGCGCGAGCTCAGACTAGCAAGGCTCCCTCCCGCCGTCATCATCAGTGCAAGGGTCGATCATTCGCGCTCCTTCGCTCGTAGCTACGCCTACCAGAACAAGACTCGAGATAATTGTGCTCAACATGGCAGAAAGCTATTGTGACGGAAATGGAAGAAGTGCGCAAGTCCGTCGCGGGTTCTATTGTTCCACGTACCTAACGTTCACCCTCCTCCATGGGAGATGCAACAGTGGTCAAGATTCTACAATCTTCTCGTAGGATTGCACATGCACTGGTTAATCGTATCATCTGCACCTTTTGGCGGCCAGCAACTAAACCTCGATTCAAAGAGGCGCGAGCAACTCCTTCGTACAGTCTACTCCGATCACCCTCTCGCGCGTTCCTTGCAGGATGGCGCATCTTCTCATGATACGCAAGCCATTGAAAGCGGCCCCGGATTCCCATACACACCCTGCGTGAAAGAGCCCATGTCTATCAGGCAGCCGGCGCCGATACCCGCTCTATTCAAGGTCGCACAATCAAGCCACATCACATCTGCCCGTCCAGACCATTTTTCAAGGCCGGCGGACGCGTTATTCCGGCCCAGTTTGATCCAGGATCCTCCGCAGTCGCTCAAGCGCCGGTGTGTCGACGAAGGCAGCCTCGACGAACGACCCTCTAAACGCGTCGCGCTGGCCAACGAGACCGCCAGCGCCGCCAGCAGACTATACGTCCGCGACCTTTTCCATGCCAGCTCGATGACCGCAGCATGGACTGCCCCACGCGAATACGCCGCGAGCCCCTTGTTTTCGTCATCAGTACGCTCCTATAGACCTGACGCGCGATCGCGCGATGGGCCCTTGTCGATAGGCCCCTCTTCCTCGGCGTTGCCAACCATTACTAGGATGGACGCACGCGTGGAAGTTCATCCCCATCAGCGGACGGACAAGCGCAAACGCTAGTCCGAGCCCGAAGATGATGGTGAAAGCGACTGCAGTCGGCCCAAGAAACGTCTTCGTGGTACTGCAATATAACTCCTGCGATTGGTACTGTTCTGGCGAGGGGTTCACGAGTACCAAGTCGTGTTTGAGGTGACGCGATGTACCCTATTCTTTCATGACTCGCTGAGCGAGTCCGTCATGTATGATTCAATGCCATGGTTGATGTACTTAGAGTGATACGCTCCGCTGTCTTGATCATCCCAACCTTCGTATAACCTTTTCACCTGATGTTGTCACCGGTACCGAAGCCTCCAAAGGTATATCTATATGCAGTTTGCGGACCAGAATCATGACATGCGACTTTCTAACCACTGAGATACACTGTACGAAGGGAGCGGGCGCTCATCTTTCCGCGCTACTCCGGCGCCGCAGGCACTGGCCATTGCCAATCCCCTAATCTGGGCACCGTTCTTGTCAGCGCCATCGACCTCAGAGGCTACGGGCTTGCTCACCCGAAGTCAAAAGACATGCCCATCCAATCGACAGGACCAGATGCATCCAAACCCTCCGTATTCAGGGAAGACCCACCATTCGGAACGCCCATGTTCCCATCGAGGTCATTTGGTATATGCATTGACGCATCCTCAAAACTCGTGTGATCGAATCCAAAAAGAGCACCAAGGTTAATGTTTCCGAAGAAGGCGCCAGAAGTGTCCGAACTTGACATCGTAGCGTCTGGTAACGGGTCCCCCGCACCGAAAGCTTCGTCATTGGAAGCGGTGAAGATGGAGGGCGAATTGAGACCCTCTCGCCACTGATCACGATCTTGTATGACCCCCAAAGCGTGAGGCATTGCGCGAGGCGCGGATCGCTGCTGAGTCTGAACGGGAATTCCATCGTCTTCATACCGACGCTTTGGCTTTCTCGTAAGTTGGGGGCCTAAACTGGTATCGTCGCTCAAGCTCTTGAAGGCGGTGAGCGCATCTCTATGACAACATCCCTGTCAGTCGCCAACACATCTATCCGAAGGAGACAACGTACGCATAGTTCCCAGAACAACGCCAGCGGTCCTCTTGCAAGCGCAGGACGCCGATCATCATGTCGATATCCGCCATAGCCTGCTTCTGATTGAAGTCTGGCAGCTTGTTCAGTCGCGCCATGCCAGTTCCCACAAGCATCACTAGCGCAGCAATCGCAGCCTACAGCAGTTATCAGTCCCACGAAGACCCGCTCTTCACAAGGGAGCACTCACATCCAAGCGTACGAGGCCTATGCGACTCGGTGCCCGAGCGGCGAGTGCGTTCAACACATGTACCATCGATCGCGCAGCATTCATGCAGATCGTGAGGGCCACAGAGGAAGTGGGCGTGGGTTCTGGATTGGCGAGCGATTGGCGATGAACCATGATGCGAAGCATATAGTAATGCAGGTGTAGATGCGCGGACTGGCAGAAGAATAGATCGTCACTGCGTTTCGGATCCCAGCGCACTGAAGTAGCTGGGTGAGTACCGACAGCCGGATTGTGCAGGTTACGATGCGTACGATGTACGGGAATCGATTCGGCCCAGTCGTTGAGCAGAGAGTCGAGATGCGCTGTCGTCCTCGTCGTCCAGTCCTCGCCTGCGAAGTTGTAGTGTGCTCGAGCCTTTGTACTTGCGTACTAGAGCGCGACATCAGCCTCAGCCGGTCGTAGATGTCAAAGTGTTCGTACGAGTGTGCGCAGTGTCAGGCCGTATATCTGAGACAACTTGAGAGTCCAGATGAAGTGACTCGTGTAGGATGGCCTGCCGTCTGGTTGCTGCGCTACTCGTTCAGGATCTACATGCGTGATGTACTCGTCATCGCAGCAGAGCGGGAGATCCAAGTCGAAGCTGATCCAGGTCAATAGACAACGACACATGATCGGCAGATGGGCTCACTCCTCTTCTTGTATGCAGCACGGACGGCCCATCGTACTACTCAGGACACGATCTAGATGTACCAGCATCCTAGACGAAGCGTGACTCAGTATTAAGCATGCAGCTCCAGATTACGAGATGCGCAACATACCAAAAGTTCCGCTTGTATAGCTCATCTTCGACAGTCGGAGTGGCGCCGTACGCGCGGCGCTTGTGAGCGCCGATGTCCAAAGCGAGGCGAATGCCCAACCCGGCATGGATCCAGGCGTGGAAGTGAGTGATGCTGAGACCGTACATGACACCGAGCTACGATGAAAGTCATCATGAGGCACTCGTATGGTGCACATTCCGGAAAGGTACTTACGGATATAAGCTGTAGTCCATGAAGATGCGAGTTTGGTCTCATGCGCGTGGCGTCGTACAGACGGACTTGGGAGAACCATTTCCACCCAAAAGATTGCCTTTTTTGCTCGCCCTCCGCCAGAACACGGCTATCTTGCGAGAACCGTTCCGCAAGAGCGCAAATCAGTAAGACGACACCACCGAACGTACGATCTCGAAGATGGAGCTCCGATCTTCTGTCGCGTTCGAACGTAGGACGGTGAAGGACTGGTGCAAATGTGTGAACGTGCAAGAAGTACAGGTTGATGAAGTCGTCCAACAGGTCGGGGTCGGGGAAAGTGTAAGATACCTGCGTCTCCTCGCGAGCAAGATCTTCAAGCCACTATTCGATTGTAAGTCTGCCGATCTGAATGAGACGTGGACTCAAAAAGGCCACCTCAGGTCGCTTGCGGGCTATCCCAAAGAAGGGCCCGGTATGGGCGTGTGGGGCCGATAGTCGAGAGCACAATACAATCGCCGTCTTGAGGAGACCGGCAGCCGATGACCTGCCAAGATAGCTCGACATATCTTGAGGTTTGGCGGACGTGATGGCGGGAAGCTGCTGAAGTTTTGTTGTGAGACTGTCCTCTTCATCGGACAGGTGACCCTCATCCGCTACTGGCCTTAAAGACGGCGCTTGTCCGGGACCGAGGATAGAGAGAGAATCCGGTGTCGCGGTTGCCGGTGCAGGCATGACGCCGGTATCCGCGGATGCTTGTGACATAGAGTCGTCTGGCGGGTACGCTCCACATACACCGGGTTGCATCCAATTGTCGCGGGTCAATGTGAAGCCAACTTCTTGAGTGAAATCTTGGCCGGGAAGCAGCTAAAGATACAACGGTATCAGACTGCAATACTTCTTCAATGAAAGAGAGCAGAAACCGACCCGTTTGATGAGGCATTCAAGCCTCTGAACCTTCGCCTCAAGGGCCTCGATGTATCTGGACGCCGATCAGGGAGATTCGCAGCCTCCATTGTAGATCGTACCCGGAGTATCTTCCCTGTAATGAGGTTAGGTGGAGCGAGCGAATCAGTATCGAGACAGCTTACCCTCGCTCTGTAGCTGGCTCCAGTATACTCGCATGCTTATGATAGACGACAGTCAGAATGTACCCTTTGTCCTTGACGTATGATACGTACACCAGTTTCGAGCAGAGCAACGCGAGCATCTGTCTATCCCGGGTTGTTTTCCATCACCTGCAAACAAGATTGAGTAAGGAAGATAATCTGGTATTGTGACCGTCTCACATCGGGCTGAGGTTAAGGAGTGCACATGACACGTTCGGCCAAAGTATAGCTCAATTGATCTTGAGATCACTCACTCTTGCTCTTCCTGCACCTGAAGAACGATCTGGTCAATCCAGTATCCACCAAGCGAATAAGAGACCGATGAATCAACGCACATATCGCAGGCATTCGTTCGTCGCCGTCTGTTAGGGTCGGTTGGAAGTTCTGCAATGTGAGCATCCTGATCACTCTGGTCCGAAAGCATGATGATGAGGGTCCGGAGTGAAGATGCAATCTACGAGTACTGGAGGATGACCCCCGCTTACAACGCCGGACCCACGTAAGACGCCTTGCACAGAGTCCGGGATGGCAACGACTCCGAGCGCGTCTTCGCGTACGGCCGCAACCAGCATGCACAATTTTCACGCATACCGCCCGGTACTGAGCCACTCGAGAGGGATTGATCATACTGGGCGAGAGCTGTGAGGGAAGACGCCCGTAGGCCGTCCGGGACCGAGTGTATCCAGCACAACTCCGGCTCCGCTGAGTCCGCATCATGACCGTCATTCGTCGCAGTCCCGACCAGAGATGAGTGCAGAGCGGTCATTCGGGACTCGTACAGATAGGCTGCACTTGCATGCATCATAATGTAGGAAGATAAAGCGCAATTCGCGGTCACTCGTGGTCAAGAGCAACCCGTGAGGCGGCGCCGTCGCGCGGGCAGCACGCGACACGCCGACGCGCGCACGTGTCTTGCGCGCTGCGCCAAGATGCGGGGATCCCTTCCCCACAACCCATATTTCCTCCGATCCAAGTCCCTCCACTCTTAGAGACGACGCTCCAGGTATTCCTATCTCGAAGCCGACCGAGAGGGAGGGACAGTCGTAGGTCGGTGTGAGCGCCGAAATACCGCCGGCGTGTGCCGAAGCGCGTCAGCGTCACGCTTCCTCGAACATGCGAACAAATGACAAGTCGTGTCTCTAAACCGAACCACGCGCGCGCCACCCCGCTCTCCGCCGTACCGCCTCCCGTCCACTCCTTCTATCGCTCTCCACAAAGCCCAAAAGTAGAGGGCATATCTGTGGGTGAAGACGTCGCAGCACTCCGAACATGTCAGAGAACCAGGCCGTCGCGCACTTATACGCGCCTGTGAGGGCGATCCTTGCCGCACCTGACGTTGATTTGTCAAGTATCAGCGCAAAGCGCGTGCGGAGACAATTGGTCGATGATGGGCACGCTGATGCGGCTTTGGTGAAAGCTCAGAAAGCGGCATTGGACGCGTTAATTGGGGAGGTATTCTCTGAAGTCAGTTCGGGGAATACAGGTACAGCGGGAGGGGACGGGGGAGAGTCAGAAGCAAATGGGGAGGACGGCTATGGTGAAGAAGGAACGCAGGATGGCGCTGATACTGATGGCGTTGATGGAGAGGATGCAGGCGAGGAAGAGGAGGAGAGGGTGGTGAAGAAAGAGAGGAAGCCAGCAGGGAAGAAACGGAAAGCCGTGGACGACGACGAAGCCGTTGCGAGAGCGCTGCACGCGCAGATCAACGGAGGGAGGCCATCGCGCGCCGCGGCGCCTCCGGCGAAGAAGCGCGCGAAGAAAGTGAAGAGCGCGGACACAGTTGATGGGGAGGACGCGCCCAAGAAAAAGCGTGGCGGAGGAGGCTTCCAGAAGCCATATCAACTATCAGAGGTATACTATTCGTCCAACACATTGCTTAACTTCATTGATTGCTAATACATCACCCTTTCTTCCAGCCATTAGCAGCAGTAGTGGGCACCGACTCAGCCCCACGGCCAACAGTGGTGAAGCTGCTCTGGGAACACATCAAGGGCCACGAACTGCAGAACCCGAACGACAAGCGTGAGATCATGTGCGACGACGCGCTACGTGCTATATTTGGCAAGGACAAAGTCACTATGTTCAGTATGAACAAGGAGCTCTCAGCGTACGTTGAATTTTCTGCGAGTCGCGCCACAGGTCGCTCGGGAACAATGGTCCGCTGACGTCGTTGTTTGACCGAACAGGCATCTGAGTCCCATGGCTCAGGAGTAGCCGACGCACATCGTTTTCCCCATTTGCCTGTCTTTTTGGATGTACATAGCATGACTATCTTGCCTCGGCCACGTACTCTTCTCTCTGTTGAATGTATCTCGCAACCTGTTATGTACATATACGTACATACGCTCCTCTGATGTTGACATGCACATGGATCGGATCCACTTCGCATCTTGGCCATTTGCCTCTTACGCTCGAACCGTCATCAGTCTTGCTTCCATCCCCGCACGCGTCCAAGTACGGTCTTTGGCATCTCGTCTAGTCTAGGCTATCTCCTTGCGTTCAACACGAGTTTTGTTTGGCGACTTCCATATATAAGGCGTGCATCGCGCGTGTCGTGCCCGTAGGATGGAAATGGGTGCCCCGCCATCAACCTCTGCTTCTGCCGCCCGCCCCTCGTCGTCCCACTATATCGAGAGCAATCACAAGTACTACGATGCTATGGTGGGTACAGTCTCGTCTTGCCACACATCCCAGTCCTTAATATCTGCTCCAAGTCGTGATGGGCCAATGGCTAACCTTATATTTCACTCAGCCTCGAAAGCACTACCGCGATGTCGTACACGATGCCTACACTCGCCTCACTCCCGACCAGCTATCGCTATTTGCACTCATACGGGGATTGCCGACAAATGGGTCGCCCCATGAACTTGCCGCACGGCTCGCGCACCACGATCTGCACACCTATGCCTTCCCCACCCCTGCTCACCCACCAACGCCACCACCAGAATCCGACTCGGAATCGCAGCAGAATATTGCGGTGGATGTAGACATCAGGCCTCCTCCGACTCTGACACATGCGCAAGCGCGCGCATCGAGTACACTGCCTTCGCCCGTCCAACTTCCCGAGCGCCCGCATTCTTCTCCACCAACAGACGCCGCGCGGATACACGCCCGCGCACTCTCCGCCCCCGCCCCTCGTCCTCCCGCATCATCAGCACCATCATCACGCAAACCCCGAGCCCAACTTCCGGTAGAGATCATGGCCGATATCCTCGATACCGTAGGCGACTGGGAACTTTCGAAGGCTGTCGGTCTTCCCACAGCTTTACCGCCTCCTCTAGCCTGGGCTCGCGCAAACGGGACGGACCATGCCCTTCTCACCGGGTACTTGCCCCTTCTAATCTCGGCCGACCCCGATGCGCACCCTCCTACGGCCGTAGGAGCCACTTTGACGGTCCGATTTGGGTACACGCATATTTTGGCGTATTTGTTCCGCGCACATCGACCGGTGTTCACGAGGATGTTCAAGTCGGATTTGATTCCTCTTACGGCTATGGCGCATGGGCGGATACAAGTGCTCGAGTGGTGGCTTTCCCGCGTCAGCTCTGGCGAATTGCAGCCTGTGAAGAACGAGAAAGCCGCGGAAGCGCTAGAGAACGCCAGTCGGGCAGGACAGGCAAGGGCACTGGAGTGGTGGAGGGTCAAGGGGCTTCCTCTGATCTGCTCTGAGGCAGCGTTGGAGGCGGCTAGTGCGCGCAATGCGCTTGGCGTACTGGATTGGTGGGCGGAGCAGGCAAGAGCGGGGCGTATCGTCTTGAAAGTCGGCAGGGTGATGGACACCGCATCTTCGGCTGGTGCGGTTGGCGCTCTGGACTGGTGGGCGCGATCCGGACTGGACTTCACGTATGATCGTGCCGCTTTGGCGCATGCCTCGTGTCAAGGCCGTGTCGACGTTCTTGAATGGTGGGCGCACTCCGGGATGCAGTTGTTCTTCGATGGCGACGCGCTGGTGGGCGCTACAAGGCACGATAGACCGGAAGTGCTGCAGTGGTGGGCGGAGAGCGGCCTCGGAATTACCTATAGGCTGTGCGATATTGAGGAGGCGTTGGAGGATGCGATCGGAGGGGGCGAGAGGGCGAGGGAGTGGTGGAGGAGAAAGGGAGTTGATTTTGACGCGGGCGATGCGGAGTGGATGAAGGTTTGCTCATTGAACTAGAAGGTTGCTACGGACGCATAACGCCTTTCTTGTGTAGTATATGTATTCTTGGCTGGTTACTATACCGTATTGCATTTGCATTGCGCACACTCGAATGTATATCTTCGCTCAGCTGTACGCAAGGAATACATCCTTCCTTATCTAAGCCGCGGGAGAAAGCGGGGTAGACCAGCAGTGGAGACTGCTCTGCCACATCGAGCGAGAAGGACGCCTCGTGCTCCAGGTTCGCGACGCGGTACGCATGCGCACAAGGCACGTGTGCGCGTTGGTGCAGCGAGCGCGCACGGCCCGCATGCACTGTAGGGCGGGGAGAACGTGAAATTCACGAGCCGTTTCACGGCTTGAGCCTGCGAAAATCTTATTTAAAGCCACTACTTTTCAATGAGTAAAAGTGAAATTCACGGACTGCCCACCTGAAACCGGGTCTATGGCTCCGCCGCGGTTTCACGAGGTGGATTCGCTGGCGCGAACATCGACTTTCGGTGAGTTTTGCTGTGAACAGCCCCGAAGAGTCACGCTCAGCGGCGACAGTTTTGCTGATACTCTTGCAATACTGGGGATATGTATGCATTGCAAGTCTACGAATTAAGCTACAGAAGACAGCATACATGGTACTATATCATAGAATACTCGTTTCACCATCCTTTCCACTGAATCCTACCTACCTGCGAGCAACCGGACCTCGGTTGCTACGACCCTCAGCACTCTACTGCACAGCAAGCAAACAGTCACCCTCAGCCTGGAAGCACGGGTGAGCACTCCGAGGTCATCATCCACACGACATACCGATACCGAATGAGAGGGCGTCAAGAAGGGGGCCAATATAGGCCCGAAGACCTATGCGAGGTGAATCAATATATACCTCCGGGGGCCGGCAGAGTTGAAGGCACGCACTAGGACATGAATCAAATACCCGCGCGCCGTCACGGTTTCTGTCGATATAAACGATGGTCAGAATACACAGCCGATCGCGCGGGTCAGGATGACACGCACTATTTCACCCCGAACATCCCACACCAGAAATATAGCCACAGCACTACTAGCAGCAAAGGCTACGACATCCAAGCGATCTAGACAGGCAAACCGCGTTGGCAGCATCGACGCCGTCGTCGTGGAGGGAAGCAAGGAGTGTTGGTGCGCGGATGCCGACTAAAGTGCCGAGGGTGACGTCACTCCGTCGCACGCGGGCCGCCAAGTCGACGGGGTCCGGAATTCAGGAAGTTAGCTGGCGACTTCAAGGTGGCATACCCAGTCAATGGGTAAGCTAGTGACCCGCCTGGGGTCGTGAAACTTCTGTTTCCTTGGAAAGGCGCGCGAAAAGCGAATTTCGCTCCCTTCCGACGGAATTTCACGACCTTCTGAGCTTACAGTGTCAGTCGCGTCCTCCGAGTCGTCCTTCGTTTCAGACCACCGCCCCACGAAGTCCGCAAGTTTGATCCACTCTGATGGGGGCTCTTGCGGTGGCTCATGCTTGAGGATAGTGCATGGACGTGGAAAACACTGCTTACATGCTGGTGTTCGACGGCCGGAGGTGTGAACAAAGTTGTACGTCAGACGCTTTACGATGCACGGAGTTACAAGCGTCGTGTGCCCATTGCTCTCCTATTGCCTCTTCTTTCCGGACCACCACGACTAAATCAGCAGCATGTCTTCGGACGAACGGCATCAGAGCGGCTCAGGGCAGTCGGCCGACCACAATAAACGTAGAAGACCCAATGCTTGCGATATGTACGGCGCCGCGACGAATCTTCTAGTCATGGCAGAGGTATAGTTAGCTGACTCAGACCGTATTAGGTGTCGGAAGAGGAAGAGCGAGTGGCTTTTGAACGTTTTGAGTTTGCGAAGCTGCTTGCTGACTAAAGACCTTCTGTGAATCTAGTTCGATGTAAGGTCATACTGCATATATCCGGTTCGCTCCGAGAGATGAACATGCCGTCTTATAGGTGATGGAAGACAGGTCCGTACTGGAAAATGTACGAACTGTACCGTACGGGAGTGGGGTATGTCTCTGGCCCCGTCTTATGCGCGTCGCTTTTGACGAACTTTTGAAGACTGCGAGTTTGGTAGCTTCGTTGCGAAGGTAACTTTGCCGAAGCAATTGCACTGTATTTATCACGCTGAACTCTGACTTGCAGGGAAAATACTCTGGGTGAGATGAATATAACTGGAACTATGGCTGTATCTAATCTCCGTTACGTATACAGATACATCGAAGCCCTTGAGGTGAAGGTCAAGAGGCTTGAAAGTCTGATCAGGCAAGTAAGTACATGGCTTGTCATGCGCGGACTCTGTCAGCTCACACGGACCCTCATCTGCATTAGCTGCTACCTGGCCGGGACTTTACAAAAGAAGTAGGCTACGAGCTAACGCGGGACAACTGGATGATGCCTGGTGTATGCGGCACGTCTACACTGGACGATCCCGAGGAAGACACTACGTCGGTCAATAGTGTGATGCCTACGCCTCCTGCGGCGAGATCAGACGCCCTATCGGTTCTCCGCCCGGATCATGCCCCACCTCTAACTCCTCCGGTTGAGGACGACCATATGTCAGACGAAGAGAGCAGTATCACGACGAAGCTACAGCAACTTCCTACGATGACGTCCGCGACCACGCCAAATAAGTCGATTTTGATCAACTATATGGGCAGGTCGTCTTCAGCAGCCCTTCTCAAGACCGCAATAGCGCTCTGCTCTCGCCTAGCACCACATGTGGACTCAGGCTCAATATTTGAGAGGGCCCGTAAACGGCCTGACGTGAGTTTAAGTCTCCCGTATCCATCGCATGAAGCTCATAAACATTCGGCAGTGGCTCAACGATCTCGGGAAGGACCAGCCTCAAGTGCAATACAGCTTTCCCGATCCAGATGTGCAGGACGAACTAGTAGACCTCTACTTCTTGCAAGTACACACGTTTGCACCAATACTTCACCGTCCGACATTTGAGCGCGATCGAAAGGCTGGGCTACACCTACATGATCGGACCTTCGGCGGTGTTGTGCTTCTCGTCTGCGCATTGGCGGCGCGTTTTTCGGACAAACAACGCGCTTCCGCTGAGCATGAGAAGCATTGGCACACTCTCGGGTGGCAGTGGTTCTCCCAGGTATCTCTATACGACGTTGCACGGATGATCAAGCCGAACTCGCACCTTCATGGCTTGCAGATTCTATGCGTATGCATCAGACTATGACTCAGAAGGACAAGCATCTGACGTGTGGATTGTTTGCAGCTGGGGGTCATGTATAGCATGATGTTCTCTCACGTTCATGCTTGGATTCATGTCGGTCTGGGCATTCGCCTCGCGTTGGATATTGGGGCCCACAAGCGACGCGCGTATGGAGTCACTCCAACTCTCGACGACGAACTCTACAAGCGGAACTTTTGGTGAGACTTCTGCGTGCGAGAGCTTGAGACATCTGTTGAACGTACACCCAGGATGTTGCACTACTTGGATCGCACATTGAGTAGCATGATGGGCCGTCCGTGCTGTATACAAGAAGAAGAGTGGGTGGTGACAAGCTTTACGAGACGATCGACAGTGGACTCATGTTCGGCACGCCAGCTTCGACTTGGAACTTCCTCTATGTTGCGACGATGAATATTTGGTGCCCGAAGATACGCAAAAGATCGTGAAGCAACCGGAGGACAAACCGTCATACACAGGATACTTCATCTCGATACTCAAACTCTGTCAAATACAGGGTCTGGCTCTTCGTACGATGGTGCGCCTTGCCGCGTCCGGAGTTCACGAGCTCTATGCTGAATGCATTCGCCCAGTATGCAAGTACCAAGGCTAGGACGCACTATAACTTCCAGGGAAAAGACTGGACATCGCGTACCATCGCACATCTAGACTCACTGCTCAATAACTGGGCCGACTCTATCCCCGATCACCGTTCGTCCCGCCCCTTATTTACCCACTTCACTGGCGCTCAGACATTCGATAGTGCGCTGGGATCCAAAGCGAGAGAACGATCTCTTTTTCTGTCAATCAGCACATCTCCATCTCGAGTACCAAAAGCTTCGTATCATGGTCCACCGTCAGTTCCTCGGCACTTTTCAGCTCACGGCATGTTCATCTCCGGCACTCACGATCTGCATGAATGCCTCTCGTTCAATTGTGCACTTGGTAACGGCATTGATCGAGCGCGTACCAGGGCGTACGACTCTTGTGCGGTGGGATGTGAGTACCTTGGCTTCTGTCACGATCTGCTCCAAGCATAGAACTTACCTACAATTGGCAGGCTGCCTACGCGGCTATGGTAATGCTTGTAGGAGTAGGCATCGCGCGGCTAAATAACTTAACGAGCTTCGACCGTAAACGAATTTCGGCCGACATCGAAAGCATGCTAAGTGTGCTGCGTGTCCAAGAGGACGTCTGGCGTTGCGCAGGATCCTACGCGTACGTCCCTTCTTGAAAGTGGAGATACCGTGAGGCTTATAGACGCCATATAGAGACGCTCTCGGCGTATTCATGGCTATATGCGGGGATGACAGCCCTGACGCGGATCCCACGCGGCAACGCAAGCGCCGACACGAAGATGACACTCCGGTGTCATTGAATCCGCCGACTCTTCCTTCAGAGTCTCCGGCTCACGATGATCTGCTACGTGCAGAGCTGGAATCGCCTTCTATCTTCACGTCAGCTGCAATACAAGAGCAAACGAACGTGATGGACCAAGGGCCAGATGCTGCGATGTCACCGAGTGCAGGCGCCTTTCTGGGAAACATCAACTTCGGGTCTCTTTTCGGGTTCGGGGATGCGAGCTTCGAAGCCGCACAGACGCAACCTGGTGTCGAATGGAACTCAGGTGTCAACAGGCCGGCGGCTGGCTTCAATGATAATACGAGTGTCAATGTTGGTCCAGAGGACTGGACTTTCATGTCCTTCGACTTTGGGTGAGCAAGTCCAGACCACTGTCAACAATATGATACTGACGGCTTGCGACTTGAAGCATGGGCGCGGATTGGCAATGGTTGACGCCGGCTCCGGAAGAGACGGGCTACAGAGCGTGAACTTGCTCTGAGGTGCCTTGACGTTGAGGGAAGTGATGGAGCCCGATGGACTTGCCGCGTTGTATTTATAGATACCATACTCATCGTTCGAATACTACGTATATGCAGCCTCGAGCTGTGTAAGAAGCGCGCGCACCCCGCGCAGCTTCGCGCACTCGCGCATCGCGTTCTGGGCGCGAGGACTACCCAAGGCTCCCTCGGCACCGAGTGAACGAATGTGACGCAGGCATGCTTCCTCACGGAAGTCGGCGTATATTTTGCGATTGTACTTCCTCTATACACGCGGCGTTTCAACATGAGGTGATTGACGACCACGGTAGAAACGTGACATACCTCGCTCTTGCGCGCCTTCTCTTCGTACGCATGGCTCTGGTGTATGACGAACTGATCTGCGAGTACGAAGAACGCTGTTCCGGAGAGATGTAGCTCGTATAGGCACGCCGCCTTGTTCCCCCCGTATCCTGTGAAGCGCTCGTCGCACCTACATTTCGTGAGAGACAAGATCGTGCCGTGACTACGAGGAAGCTCACCATCCCCCGGCATCGCGCGCCACGACGACGTATGGCTCGTATGCACTCGTGTAGGTCTCGACCTCATACACCTCTCCTGACCGTGTCTTGCCGTACCGGTCGTAATCTGTGCAGTTGTGCCCAGGCGCCCAAGCCTTGTGGAACATGCCGATCTTGCCCTTCTTCACCTCCTTCATCAGCTCAGCCTTTGTCTTCGGGAACTTCGATGCATCTGCGCCGTCCGCTTGCACAGTGTACTCGAAAGCGGGGAGTACAAGCGCCGCAGTACCCTCGATCACGCGACGAGCAAGTGCAGGAGAGAGCGCTGAGAGAAGAGCCGCGGCAGGGAAGGATGGTGGTGGGACGAAGTCGGCGTCCAGAAGCAAGACAAGCTCGCTGCGCGCGAAGAGGCGGGCAGCGTTGCGCCATGCGTTGAGCGCGCGCGGGAACGGGCTGACGAGCAGATGAATGTCTGCACGCTCGCGGAGGGCCTTGGAGGACTTGATCAGGTCTTGCAAAGCGGATATTTGCTCCTCGGCCGTGGGATGAGAGTCGAGCGGGGCGGGGTGCGTGATGTGCACGGCAACGCTCAGAGGGCCCTTGTATCGTTCGGCTAGACGTGCCAATATGGCGTACCGGTCGGGAGTCACGAGTGTTGCAAGCGTTATGTCGTTTCGAGCGGGAGCATGGGTTGCACGGTGAAAGTACGGCCGGGTGTGTAGAGGTTGCAGGGCGTCGGCGAATGCTTTTGAGAGGAAAAGCTGTTCGGAGATCGATGCAGCGCCCCATGCCATGGACGGCGAGCCCGCCGCAGATGAATTGCCTACTAACCGCGCGAGTATTGTGGCGGGTGCTTCATAGAGCGAAGACTGACGTTCATCCGACTTGACGGGGCCGGTAGAGAGCGCATGCGGAGATATGCGTCGGAGGGAGAGCGCAGATGGACAGTCGCGAACGAAGGGGCACAGGATAAGGAACGCCGTTGTGTAGGCCATCGAGATTAGTACGAGGAGGAGACATAGTAGCCATATGCCGCGGGTCAGTATGAACCTCAGCATCGTAGTACGCAGCAGGTTTCGGCGAGGGCTTGTCGGACGTGCTGACGATTGACAGCTCCTAGTACATATGGACGCCAAAGTCACATTACCGCGGTTCGACTATCTTTGGGGTGCACTCATTCGCATCGTTAGAGAGCACTGTCTGTCTTCAGGAGGTAGATGCCGAAGCACGAACTTCTGTTACTGCACATGGCGGTCAAGACGCGAACTAAGACGATCCGGGTCAATTAAAACCGGACATAGCCCCGATCAAAGCGGCTTAGGTAATCCGTAGGCGCCAGGTACGCGGCGTCCGCAACTTCTTGCGAGCAGACGTGTTCTGTTTCCGCCGTCCATCTCCCTCCGCGTATCCTCCCTCCCTTTCTTGTATCTATACCCCTCGGTCACGATGATGTCTGCGTCTGAGGCAAACGGCGAAGCGGGGACGCCGTTTGAGCGTTTTAATGCAGAAACTGTACGCTTGAAGCGCGTATACCAGCATTATCTGGACCGCGTCGTTCCACACGTCGTCGAGCGCTGGCTTGGAGCTGCGGTGTTGCTTGCATTATTTGAGCTCAGGATCGTGGTATCACAAGGCGTACGTAGTCTATTCTACGTACTTTGAATCTTAGGCTGACTGGTGTGCATCCGCAGTGGTACATTGGTTCGTACTGTTATTCTGCCCCTAGGTATCGTTTGGCTAACTACCCTATCCCTTTTTACTAGTATGCTGTGAGTTCATCTCGGCCGATCCTGTAGCTTCGGAAAATTGCTCATCCCAAATTGCCCAGATGCGCATGCCATCTACTTGTTGAACTTGCTGCTCGCCTTCCTCCAACCAAAATTCGACCCTTCGCTGCAAGATGACTTGATGGCCGATGAGCTGGAAGGTGGCGGCGACCAACCAACATCCCCTCTCCCCAGTACTCGTGACGACGAGTTCCGTCCCTTCGTCCGCCGCCTGCCTGAATGGCAGTTCTGGTGCGCAATCCACATATCCGTCTATAAGACGGTCTAGCTCACCAATTGCGATAATACAGGTTAAGCGTGACGCGCGCCACGATCATCTGCACTTTCCTCACCGTGAGCCAAGTGTTCGATGTACCGGTTTACTGGCCGATCCTGGTCCTCTACTTCTGCGTGCTCTTCGTTCTCACTATGCGCAGGCAAATACAGTGCGTATCATGCATTCCTTTCTCTTGACTTCACGAGCTGATGTTGGGTGCAGACACATGATCAAGTACCGCTATGTCCCATTCGACTGGGGTCGAAAGACTCGCTACGGTGGCCACTAGGATAAGTGCACCATGTGGATAGATACGTGGCGAAGGGGTGGACGTGTGTGGCTGTGTGTGAATGTGGCGTTCTATTCTACGGGTCATATAGATTACTCCTGGATCTAAGAGTTCTTCTTGAGAGCGTGCTTTGAGAATGAGGGTCTTCCTAACTGCACACGATGTTAGCGGAGGAGATGCACAGGCTACCGAGCCGAATGATGTGAACATGTTCAGATGCTAGCGCCGTGGCGTGCGGGTCCGAATAAAGCTCAACAGCAACGCCCGCCTTAGTTTGATCTTACACCTCCACCATGTCCGCCACCACATAGTGCAACAGGCGCCTGACGTGGATACTGTTCTGAGATACCACTATCCTCGCTCCCGCTCCGCCGTACGGCCAAGAAGATAAATTACCTAGCTTGACTAGGT